GGGCAGGAAAAGCAGGGGGGCCTGAGAACAGACCCAGCTTGGGGAGCTGCCCCTTTGCCCTCTTTCTTTTTCTAATAAGGTTAATGTACATATGCTCTGTAATAACTTAAAGTAGATTGAGAGCAAACCTCTTTTGAATTCTGCTCACTTCTTCAGAGGTTTCCACTGCATTTAGTATGTTGAGTTCTGCTTCTTGGCATTTTTACATGTATATGTGCAGACTCCCAGAACTAAAGTGGTATTGTGAAGGTTTTTCCTAAAACAGGCACAATATAGGGGTCATCCTCAGAGTTGCATTTTTTTTTACTTTTTAAATGTATTTTTTATTGACTTCAGAGAGGAAGGGAGAGGGAGAGAGAGATGGAAACATCAATGAGAGAGAATCATTGATTGGCTGCCTCCTGCACGCCCCCTACTTGGGATTAAGCCCACAACTTGGGCATGTGTCCTTGACTGGAATCGAACCCAGGACCCTTCAGTCCTCAGGTGACACTCTATCCACTGAGCCAGACCACTAGGGCCTCACAGTTGATTAATAAAATGTTACGGAGATATATTCTCATTGGAGCATGAAGATCTCCCTCTTTCATTATGATAGACCCAGAGCATTCTGTAGTTTGGGCATGCTGTGTTTACTTTAGCCATCCACCTCCTGAGGGGCACTTAGCTTGATTGCAGTCTTTTGCTGTTGAAAACAAAAAACCACACTGAAACTGCTAGAGGTAGAGTTGCTGGCTCTGAGCCCATATACTTTTCTTTGTCACTTGACTTCCCCTCCCAGCTACCTGATTTTCAACGTTCTTCCCACACTGGCTGACATCATCATTGGCATCATCTACTTCAGCATGTTCTTCAACGCCTGGTTTGGCCTCATCGTGTTCCTGTGCATGAGTCTTTACCTCAGTGCGTGCTGCTTGGTGAAACCAGCTCCCTGAACTCTCCAAGGACTCCCTTGAGCATGAGCTCTGACCCCACTTGGGTGACCCAGTTTGGAAGACTATAGATTAGTGGACTTGAATAGTCTCCTCAGCTCCCCAATAATGGTGGATGGGCAGACTCCTCTGCCATGGAAACGTTAGCTTAACCTGTGTGGAGGGCCAGGGCATTGTGGTCACAGTAGGTCCCGTGTGGATACGAGTCAAGGAGAAAGCTCACTGTGTCACAGATGCAGCTTGCTTTGACTTGCTCATCAAAAGCATCTTCACAGATGAGGCCTGTACAGGCTGCAAAGATATCTTGGACACAGCCTCTTCCCTCAGGGAGCTTAGATGTTCTCTCTTCAGAACATGGGTCCCTGGGCTATGACGTAGGGTTAGTGTGTAACAGGCATCAGACATACACATGTGGTTTCTGCTGTTGAAAATGTTGTCTTGATCTCTTCTCCTTTCCCCTCCTCCTTTCATGCTGTAGCCCTAACCATTGTGGTCACTGAGTGGAGAACAAAGTTTCGACGTGATATGAACACACAGGAAAACGCTACCCGGGCACGAGCCGTGGACTCTTTGCTAAACTTTGAAACGGTAACAGAGGCCTTGGTGGCAGTGGTGTGAAGCATGGAAATATGGAGGTTTGTGCCTGGGATCACCGAGGCTGCTGAGGAGCTGGGGGGTGCAAGATGTGCTATTTAGAATTAGGAAGGGGGGATTGGGGATCTGGAAGCAATGATCCAGGTGCTGAATGCTGCAGCCATGTCAAATGGTGCTTTGAATTCATCAGGTGAAGTATTACAATGCAGAAGGTTATGAAGTGGAACGTTATCGAGAAGCCATCATTAAATATCAGGTGAGCACGCTAGTTTGAGGCTTACTAACAGCAATGGCCTGGCCTTGTGGCATTACCAGAGCCAAAAAGAATAAAATTTGGGCTGTGAGGTTGAAGGTGCCTGGGCCCAGGTTTGGATTTGGTGATGGTCAGCACATATGTGACATTCCTCTCTCGCTTGTTATTTCCACAGGGTTTGGAGTGGAAGTCAAGCGCGTCACTGGTTTTACTAAATCAGACTCAGAACCTGGTGATTGGACTTGGACTGCTTGCTGGCTCGCTGCTTTGCGCGTACTTTGTCAGTGAGCAGAAGCTACAGGTGAGGGAACTGTGCTGGGGACAGGGAAGAGGGGGCCTGGGGTCTATGTCTGGCCACCAGGCTCCTGGGTGGGAAGCAGAGAGATGACAGGAAGTGGGCAGGGTGATAACCTGAAGGCCTCTGGTGGATGATCCTCTTCCTTGGATCTCCACAGGTCGGGGACTTTGTGCTTTTTGGCACCTACATCATCCAGCTGTACATGCCCCTCAACTGGTTTGGCACGTACTACAGGTAACCTGATCCCTGGCCCTCACCTGGGCAGTGCATTATTTCCCCACCTCCTCAGAGGAGCTCCAACCATTGACTGCTTGCAGGATGATCCAGACCAACTTTATTGACATGGAGAACATGTTTGATCTGCTGAAGGAGGAAACAGAAGTGAGTGAAGAGAGAAGAGTGGGGTTTGGGGGAGTGAGAGCCACGTGGTATTTCTGGTGTCTGGAGAATACCAGACCTGTAACAGCGCCACGCATTGCTGACACTCTCCCAGGTGAAGGACCTTGCTGGAGCAGGGCCCCTTCGCTTCCAGAGGGGCCAGATTGAGTTTGAGAATGTGCACTTCAGCTACGCTGATGGGTGAGCCCCTCCCCTTTTGCCGTCCCTGGACCCTGTCCCACTGTCTACTTACTGCCTTCCTGCCCCTCATCCCTGCCTCTTAGCCATCCCTGCTTCTTGGGAAGAGAGCCCACCTAGGGGAGGGTCAGGGCCGAGTAGTAGCTCTGGTGATGGAAGTGGGCACTGGGAGTGAAGCAGGCCTGCTGACCATACCCGCTCTTCTTGCAGGCGGGAGACCCTGCAGGATGTGTCCTTCACTGTGATGCCTGGGCAGACCCTGGCCCTGGTAAGAGGAAACCCAGCCACTGGGCCCAGCCTTCTCCATCTTTCCTTATTCCAGTGCCCATGGTAGCTTGTGACCCAGGCTAGGAGTTAGAGAGCCCTGTCGTGTGGTCACATGTGAATGTGGCAGCCTCCATGGACATTGGTGCCCTCTTGGAGAAAAAGCCTTAAAAGCCAACAGGCCTAAGAATGCGTTTCCCTTACAACAGGTGGGCCCATCTGGAGCAGGGAAGAGCACAATTTTGCGTCTGCTCTTTCGCTTCTATGACATCAGCTCTGGCTGCATTCGAATAGATGGTCAGGACATTTCACAGGTGAGGTTGTTTGGGAGGAAACTGTCATTGTGTGTAAAAGAATGGTAACTGCTGAGCATCCAGGGAGAGGAGGAGACCTCACCTCTTCAAAAAGCTGGGGCAGGAGACCTTAGCCTTTCTAGCACCATCTTACCTACACTAGACAGAGTCATGTATGGTGCTGTACACGGTACAAAGATCAGCAGCAGTCTAGGGAAGCAGGGAGAGAATGGGACTTTTCTCTTTAGCGATGGGGAAACAGACTCGGAGAGGTGGAGTGGCTCGTCCACACAGCTAGGGCTTGGGGTGGTGGTAGCAGGAATTCTACCCAGGGGCTCTCATCCCATGTGCTTTCCACCAGCCCATCCTTCCTCCTAGGCCTGGGGGGATCTCACAGGCCAGGAATATGGTCTCTTGGCCCCAGGTGACCCAGATCTCCCTCCGGTCTCACATTGGAGTTGTGCCCCAGGACACCGTCCTCTTCAATGACACCATTGCCAACAATATTCGCTATGGCCGCATCACAGCTGGGAATGATGAGGTGCAGGCTGCTGCCAAGGCTGCAGGCATCCATGATGCCATTGTGGCTTTCCCTGAGGGTGAGCTTCCCTGGCCCTGTTTTGCCCTGGGCTGTTACTCCCTCTGTCCTCTGTTCCATCCCTTCCTTGCCTCATCTGAACACAGAAACCAAGTTTATCATGTGTGACCTGAGGGAGGTGGGCAATATCCACAGGGTATGAGACGCAGGTGGGCGAGCGGGGACTGAAGCTCAGCGGTGGGGAGAAGCAGCGTGTCGCCATCGCCCGCACCATTCTCAAGGCCCCCGACATCATTCTGCTGGATGAGGTGAGGGCCCTGGGCAGCCTTCACCCCTCCCTCCTGTCCTGCCTGTGCCCATGCCATTCCTGCGGGGCACTGTTTTCCAGGATTCCATGTTTCACAAAACACCTTACAGTTCTCAAGTGCAAACAAGGATCTTTTTGATACCTGAGACCTTGGCCAGCAGCTTGCTGGGAATTTGGGTGGCAAAGGGAGTTTTACCCAGACCCTCTCTGTAGGCAACATCAGCGTTGGATACATCTAATGAGAGGGCCATCCAGTCTTCCCTGGCCAAAGTCTGCGCCAACCGCACCACCATTGTAGTGGCACACAGGTACAGGACCGGGGCAGCAGGCAGCGGGGCCACTTTTGGGGGTGCGGTGGGTAACTGGTCTCTTGACTTCTCAGGCTCTCAACTGTGGTCAATGCTGACCAGATCCTCGTCATCAAGGATGGCTGCATTGTGGAGAGAGGACGGTAAGGGGCACAGCAGGATGGACAGGGCTGGGCCTCTGAGAGAGGCGCTCTCTCTCGCCAAATCCGTTATCTCTGTGGGCTGGTGGTGAGGACTCTTGTGGTGAAACTGATAGTTGGGACTTACGCTTTCCTCCTTGCTCCAGGCATGAGGCTCTGTTGTCCCGAGGCGGGATGTATGCGGACATGTGGCGGTTACAGCAGCAGGGACAGGATGAAATCCCTGAAGATACCAAACCCCAGTCTAAGGCATGGTGACCAAAGTTGTGGCTACTTCCTTCCCAAAGGGTCACTGAAAGGGAATAAGATGTACCCTTCTTCCATGGCATATTTTATCCTGGTCTTGGGGTGCTGTGCTAGCCAAAGTGGGGAAAAGGGACCTTTCAGTAAAGCAATTTTGGGGGAAATAAAAGTGTGGACTGTGCTAGGAACACTGTGACTTCATGATGTGGCACATTGCAGTAGGCCTCTACTCTTAGATTGGGTGAGCATTCTTGACAGGACTCTACTGGTTTTGGTTGGAAAAGAGAAAGAAACACACCACTTGGATGTGCTATTAACTACCAATATCCTTTATTCCTCCCAGGACCCTCCCTGTCCCCACAGGTGCAGGCAGCCCCAGTGTAAGGGGGATGACATGATGCAGGGAGTTGAGTGGGGCCTGGCCAGCATCCCCGAGGGCCCAACCAGGGAACAGTTCAGAGCTGCTATCTCCCACGTAGCTGGAGGGCCAGCAGGGCCTTCTATAGACTGAGTTCCACAGTTGTTTCTCTTGATACTCCCTGGAAACAGCCTTTGCGTCATTCCTCGTCTTCACTCCTGGCTGCTCTTGGCCTCCTCTCCCTGTGGACCTTAGAGATGTGAGGGCCACAGTCCTCCTCAGCTAAGCCTCCCTCCCCAAGCCCAAGGCCCTAGCACAGGCTGCAGTTGGACGGCTTCAGGCTGCGGCTTTGGGCCTGGAGCAAGGAGAGGGGGAGGGGAAGACAGGGTGTGATGTCATGGAAATGAGGGGGCAGTCCTCACTTCCAAGCTCAGCATGGGCCGGAGTCATACTGAAAACAAAAAGATAACCACCATTCCAAAACTTTCAACCACTTGGAAGAACCCCCAAAACTCCTTACTCACTCCCTGTGCAGGACCCACCTCTACCCCATCCTCGTACCTGCTGCCGTTGGTACTCTGCCTCACTGGCTGACAGTGCTTGTGCTAAAGCTAAGTCTTCTTCCTCCTGAGAACTGGGAGAGAGGAGCAGCTTAAGTTGGATGACAATAATATCTAAAATATAAGCATCTGATCTGTTAGACACCATTGTGTTGAACACTTTTGAGTATTATCTCAATCTCTATACAACCCTACAATGTAGGTATTAGTATGATCCCATTTTATAGAGGAAATTAAGACCCTAATGGGTTAAAAAACTTGTCAAACGTCATATAGTTAGTAAGCTTAATTTTGGGCTCAAGTACCTAACTATTACCTTTTTATTCTTTTAATATATTTTTATTGCTTTCAGAGAGGAAGGGAGAGGGAGAAAGAGATAGAAAAATCAATTATGAGAGAGAATCATTGATTAGTTGCCTCCTGCACACTCCCCAACTGGGGATCAAGCCCAGAACCTGGGCATGTTCCCTGACTGGGAATCAAACAGTGACCTCCTGGTTCATAGGTTGATGCTCAACCACTGAGCCTGCTGGCCAGGCCTAACTATTATCTTGCAACAGATCAGAGTGTTCCCACCTATCTCTTTCCCACATCCCATCCTCTTTCACCAGAGAGTAGGTACCTTGGGACCTGGGGTTTGGTCTCTGCCAGGGACAATTCCAGGGCTCGCTGCAGAGCCTCATCCTCACTCTGCAAAAAAAGAGAAACAAGACCAGTTGCCTTGGACTTTACTCTGTATGGGTTTGCTTCTGTCCGTTCAACCTCTGCTCAACTCACCAAGCCATTCTGCAAAGCAATCACTGGAGGGGCAATCCATGATGGAGACTGGGCTGTGGCTCTAAGGCAGACATTCAGGAAGCAGAGGTCAAAAAAAAAAAGAAAAAGAAAAGAGGTAGAAGTCAGAGATAAAGGAGGAAAAGGGAGAGAAGAAATGGGGAGACCTACCTGCTGGGAGAGGTAGATGAAGGCAAGGTCTGACTTGGGCTGGGGACGGTGCTTGTAGAAGAAGCCAGACCTTGTGTTCTGGAGATGGCAGCAAGTCTGTAGGGAAGAGACATTCTTGGCATGTGTCCTAGGGTAGTCAGCTCGCATGCAGCTCCCAGGCCTTACCAGGGAACTCAGGAGGGAGTTCCTCCAAACAGTCTGGAAAAATATGCACTTGAAAAGGAAGTTAAGACTCCCTAGTCAAAGAGGACAGGGTTAAAATGGGGACAATGCAGCTGTTTTTGTGGTGTGTGTTTGTGCGCACGCGCGTGTGTGTTTACTCCCATGGTTGTTGTTTGCATTAAATGAGATAAAGGGAATGAAAATGATTGAAAACTGCCCGGCCAGTGTGGCTCAGTGGTTGAGTGTCAACTCATGAACCAAGAGGTCACTGGTTTGATTCCTGGTCAGGGCACATGCCTTGGTTTTGGATCAGGAAGCAGAGGTCAAAAAAAAAAAGAAAAAGAAAAGAGGTAGAAGTCAGAGATAAAGGAGGAAAAGGGAGAGAAGAAATGGGGAGACCTACCTGCTGGGAGAGGTAGATGAAGGCAAGGTCTGACTTGGGCTGGGGACGGTGCTTGTAGAAGAAGCCAGACCTTGTGTTCTGGAGATGGCAGCAAGTCTGTAGGGAAGAGACATTCTTGGCATGTGTCCTAGGGTAGTCAGCTCGCATGCAGCTCCCAGGCCTTACCAGGGAACTCAGGAGGGAGTTCCTCCAAACAGTCTGGAAAAATATGCACTTGAAAAGGAAGTTAAGACTCCCTAGTCAAAGAGGACAGGGTTCAAACTTCCCAGCTTGTAGTTATAAAGACTGAGTCAGTTCAGAAGGATGGAACGGTCCCATAGGTTAAGTAGAAGACTTGGCTGCAATTACCCTGCCAGGCTGGTTGGGTGCCCCTTCCCAGAGCAATCATGGTCCAGTGGGTGACGATGCTTGATGCAGAAGTTTCGGCCACAGCGTTCACAGGTCAGTTTCATCATTTCCCGCTGCCGGCAGCCAGAGCGTTCACACTTATTGGTGAAGATCTGAGGTGGAGTTGGGAAGGTTTGTCCATGCTGAAACTGACCCCCTTTCCCAACCCAGTAAGAATAGTTGTTCAGGTGTCCAGGCATCCATAAGCCCAGCTGGGTCATGGCCAACCCCTCCAATGCTTACCTTACGTTTTTGCTGTGCTGGATCCGAGCGACAGTCTCGGTCAATGTGCTCCCCGACAGCGCGGTCAGGGGGCTCCCCTCTGGCCACAGGCACAGGCACATTACAGAGTGGGCAGACAGGTACTTGGATATCCTATAGTTAAGGAACAGAGCTCAGTCTGTGACCCACTCCCGCTTCAACCAAATCTCTGGTCCTGAAAGAAACTCAGACAATAAAGGAGAGGAAGCAGGAGGCAGAGGAATGGAGGGATTCGCATGCATCCTCCATCGCCCTCACCTTTTGGTAAGCAGATCCACAGTGATGCTGAGCATAGGCCACATGGTCTGCACAGAAGATGCCCGAGCAGGCGTCGCACTTGAGCGGCAGAAAATCTGCAGGGAATATGTCAGACTGCAGGTCCAGCGGGACCCTGACATCGTTCCGGGTCGCTCAAGCCTTCCACTCCGAGGAAGGAAAACACCACCTTGTTTGCAACAAACCACCCGGCTCTAGTCCACTCTCCTTAGCCACGCCCCCTCTGACACCGTCCCAACCTCGAGCCCGCCCCTCCCGGCATTCCCAGCCCCCGGAGCCCACCCTTCGTCTCGTCTGCAGCTCCAAGCCCCTCTCCACCCGGTCCCACCCCCTCGCGCTCCGCCCTCACCCAAGCGCTGACAGCTCGGCTCGGAACAGTGCGCCCCGAGATCCGGAAACTCCATCGCTGGGCCGGGCGAGGCCTGCTGGGAGAAGAAGAAGCGATGCTGAGCATCTCTAGGGCTCCCGCTCCGGGTCCGGACTCTGGGGGGGCTCCCTGCCCCTCCCCATCCTCTCCCCCGCCCAGCCGTATTACCGGAGCCTCTGCGCCTCCCGGTCCAAAGGTCCCACTCCTCCCACAGCGCGCACGGGCGCACTGACGTCATCGCGCAGGGCGGCACATCTCGCGCAGTCGCAGGGCGGCCGAGCGGCCGAGCCCCGCCCGTGAGTGGGAGGGGGTCGCAGACTGAGCTCCGTTCCTCGGCTATAGGATATCCAAGCACCTGTCGCCCACCCTGTAATGTGCCAGTGCCGGGCTTGGGACTGGGTTGGTCCTGCGCCGGGACTTAGCTCCGCGTAGGGCGAAAGGACCCGCGAAGCCGAGCACAGGTGATTTGTTGGGGAAGGAGGATTGGGGTGGATCGGGATCTTTCACAAGACGGTCCTTCGCCCGCTTCTCACTCTACACCTGGCCATTTCATTCACGGCCACGGCTGCACCTACTCTCCACCAGCTGACTCCCATATTTCCCCAAAGTACGGATTTCTCTCCAGAGCTGCAGATCCTTCCTCCAGGCTCCGCTCTGACGCCCTTTCTGTAAGGCTCCCCGAACCATCCCCAGTCTGAGCTAAGCACACCGGCTATGTGACCTCCCCAGGTCTGTTCCAGCATCTGTGTCATCTTATTGTAATCGGCTGTTTATACACACAAATATACTGGGAAGTCAGGAACCACGCCGCCCTGGTTCTGTTAGGTTCCTGGCACCCAGCGCGGTGCCTTGAACTGTGTGACTTCAGTATGAATGCGAATTACCCACAGAGCTGGTTTTAAATGCAGATTCCTGGGTCCCGGAGCTTCTGATTCGGGAGGGCGCACCCAAGCACACAGATGATCCATGTACAACACACTTTGAAAGACGTGAGACTTGAATATTCCGAGTGCATATTAAATATTTCTGGAATGAGGCATGACAGTCACCGGACTGGTGTTCTGCTTTTCCTCCGGCAGCTTCCAGCTTCAGCACATTTTGCTTCTCACGTGCCTCTCTGGCCCCTCATGACTGGGAATGGTCGCACCCTTAAATTTATCTTCCCATAAATTTGACCATGAGAGCACATAAGCTTAGAGTTGAGCAATGTCCTCCAAAATGGAGGGTTAACCCAGGCCACAACTGGAAATGAGAAGACACTCCCTTCTTATTCTTCCCCTCTCTCCCCCCTCTAACTTTTGGCTCTATTTCACGATGTGTTTGCTTCTTCCGAATCCTTCCACGTGCCTGTCACTGGATGATACATTCAAAGAAAAGACATACAGGGTAATATGGCAGTACTTTCCAGGGTCTGACAAGTGTTATTCAAGCCAAAACCTAAGGGTTGAGTAGATTTTGGCTAGGTGAATCCAAGAGCGAAAGGAATGTGGTGGAAGGAGATGGCATTCCAGGCGGAGGCAACAGCAGGGACAAATGAAGATAAGAGAGAACCAGGTCCTTTAAATGTGCTTTAAAAAAAACTTGGGGTATCTGAATCTTATGGTATATGAAGCAGGCTAGAGGGAAATGAAACTGGAGAGCTAGCAGAGGCCAAATCACCTCAGGTATTGGAGGCCAGTTAGTATTGAGAATTTTAACAAAAATACAATGAGAAACTATGAATAGTTTTAAGCAGGGAGCGACATGATCAGACTTGTATTTTGGAAAAGTCACTTTGGCTTCAGAGTAGAGAAGAGATTGGAGGAAATATGAGATTGGAAGAAAGGAGACCAGGTAGGAAGCTGTTGCTGTAACCCAGGCAAGACATTATGATGGTCTGGACCAGAATGGGGACAATACTTAGGTATAACAAAAACTCAGTAGAGAGGTTAGATATAAGATAGATTTTTAAAAATAAGTGGCTTTCAAGTGTGTCACTGTAAAAATAAATGGAAAAAATAAATTCTATTTCCACAGTAATCACAAAGTACACATAGTCCCTGATTTATAATGAATTTATGATTTTTCAACTTTACAGTAATGCAAAAGCCATAGATGATCAACAAAAACTGGTTAGACTAAGCTATGATGATCGGTAGGTTAAAGGTATTTTTTGTATGTCTTTATTGATTTCAGGAAGAGAGAGAGAAAGAAGCATCAATGATGAGAGAATCATCAATTGGCTACCTCCTGCATGCCCCTCCACTGGGGATCAAGTCTGCAACCTGGCCATGTGTCCCAACCAGGAATCAATCTGGGACCGCCTGGTTCATGGATCGATACTCAACCACTGAGCCACACCAGCCGGGCTTAAAAGGCATTTTTTGACTTAATGGTATTTTCAATTTACGGTGGCTCTATAACCCCATCATAAATGAAGGAATGTCTATATTCAGAACAATGTTTTTAAAAGAAAAATTCCAACTTTATCTGCAAGAAGTACTTTGACCTACTTCTATGCAAAAATTTCAACCAGTTAGTATATGGGACATCTTTGACCAATCCTTCAGGGAAATTCTGGCAGCTGCTTCCCTTAATCTGTCCTTATGCCCTGAGATAGGCTATGAGCGGCCATGTGTCTACATATGGAATGATGTACCTCAAAATTGTCCCTCTAAAGGTCAGGAGGTTGGGCTGACTTCTGTCTTCTATAAAAATTGGGAGTTACTGCTGGGGGTGATAACTCCCCCAGGCGCACCTCGCTCAACTATTCTACACCTGCATGCAAGCTGACTAAGCTGCAGAGACTTTGAGGAAAGCCCAGGACAGAAGTGCTGAGGCTGTGCTTTGAGGCGGGAAGCCATCACAGCTCAAAGGAACTGTCCACAGCAGCAGCTGAAGTCAGAAATAGGCCAAGTAGAAGTAGAACGGAGCACCAAGAACACCTGTTATATTTAGCCAATCAGATTCAGTTTGAAATCAAGGCCAAGAGATCAATGACCATAATACCATTGGGCCTGTAACATACAAGTGATGGGATGTCCATCTGCCATACTGTCACACTGACAGAGGGACAGGAAGAGATTACTATCTGCAATACTTTGACTGATGGGTCCCAGTGAGCTCCATAAAAATAGATTGATCTTGTAGTTCATACACATGGATTTAAGTTACATCATTACCTGACTCTTTTGCATCCTCCCAAAGTCCACAATCCCCAACAAAACTGTGGCTAACTGCCATTACTTCATTGGTTTCACTTTGTCTCTTAAGATAGTTATAAGTTATACCATTAGATTCAGGACACTGATTTCTCAAAGCTTTGTCAAAATCTCTGGTCACAACCTGAAGTCAGGCTTATGACATGCAGGAAATTCTTTTTTTTTTTTTTTTTTTTTTTAAACTCAGCCAGTAAATGGGATGCTATTATTGTTCAAAAGTTTATAATGGTCTCAATTATCCATGAATAAGTGAGATCATGTGGTATTTTTCTTTCATGCAGGAAATTCTTGATCCAGGTGTGCACCTAAAGGCCATCTGCTGTGAGGATTCAGCTTTTGAAAGACAATTGTCAAAGATCTAGTCATTTGTGAATTCCAAGACTCCGTATCTGTTAGATCCAGCATTAATCCTGTTAGATTTAAAATTATGAAGTTGCTAATGTGTGCCCTTTTTACCTAAAAAACACACAATAATTTTGTATGATTTAATCTAACCTAAGCAGCACACCTCACAGCCAAGAACTATTTTTCTAACCATCTGTCTAATCCTCAGTCTGCTGGGTTTTGGAACCCAGACATGTCAGCAAATAGTCAGTCTGAGAGTGTGGTTTAAAGTCCATACACCTTAAAATCAGGTGTGCCAAATTTCTATGAACCTTAGTCCTTCAAACTTCCACCATTTCCTGCTAATCATGTCTGTGAAGAACATATTAGGGTAGCTGTCATGTCCTGATTTTAGTCAAGCAGCCATAAAAGTTAGTGTGGTGAGGAACTGAGTGTGCCATTTTGGAAGCAGATCCTCCAGCCCTAGCCAGCCCTGGCTAACATCTTTATTGCAGCCTTGTGGGAGACCTTGAACAAGAACCACCTAGCTAAGCTGCCCTCAGGTTCCTGAGCCTTAGAAATAGTGTGAGAACATGTCTGTTGTTTTAGGATGCTAAGTGTTGGAGTAATTTGTTATGCAGAAATAGGTAATCGATACACTTTGGTATTGCACTTTTCCCCAAGTTGTATGACACATTCAGAAATGTGTACAGGTCAATGAATTTTCATGAATTGAACACTCCCAGATAACCAGCACTCAGATCAAGAAATAGAACATTACTCCGCTGGCCGATGTGGCTCACTTGGTTGGGCACCGTCCAAGCACCAAAAGGCCAGTTTGATTTCTGTTCAGGGCACACGCTCAGGTTGTGGGCTCGATCCCCCGTAGGGGGTGTACAAGAGGCAGCTGATCCATGTTTCACTCTCACATTCATACTTTTCTCTTTCTCTCCCTCTCCCTTCCTCCTTCTCTAAAAAAGTCAATAAAAATATTTTTAAAAAGAAATAAAATATTACCAATCCCAGAAGACCCCCTCCAGTCATGGCTTCCCTTCCCCCAAAAGTAGCTACTATCTTGACTTCTAACAATATTAATGTACTTTATATAAATGTAATCATATATATTCTTTTGCATCTATTTTCTTTTACTCATTTTATGTATGAGTTTCACCCATATTTTTGTACTTATAGTTTATTCATTCTGTTTATTTTTTTATTTTTTTAAAATATATTTTATTGATTTTTTACAGAGAGGAAGGGAGAGAGATAGTCAGAAACATCGATGAGAAAGAGAGACATCGATCAGCTGCCTCCTGCACACTCCCCACCGGGGATGTGCCCGCAACCAAGGTACATGCCCTTGACCGGAATCGAACCTGGGACCTTTCAGTCCGCAGGCCGACGCTCTATCCACTGAGCCAAACCGATTTCGGCTATTCATTCTGTTTAGTTATCTGAGTATATTACAATGTATTTATCCATTGCACAGAAAACTTCTGTTATATTTACCATATGTATTTCTCCCCAACATTTTGCCACATTTGCTATATTATTTTCTCTCTCTCTCCACATACATCATATATTAATATACTAATTCTTATTTGTTTATTTTATTTCCAAACCATTTGGTACAATTTACAGAGAACATAACCCTTTACCTCTAAAATATTCAGAATGTGTATCCTACAAATAAGGATATCCTCATATATAATCAAAGTGAAATGATA